TCAACCACATGATATAGATCTTGCTTTCAAGATCTGTGGTGGCTTAAGGCCTAGTTTTTCAGATAATACTCCAGAATTTTATATTAAGTTAGCATATAAATGCACAGATGCTGACCCTGAAAAAAGACCAACAGCAGATGAAATTTTAAAAATTATTACTTTTTGGAAAGATGCAATTGAATCTAATTATTCTAGTTATTCTGAAGAACAGCTTGATGAATTAAAAGAAATAAGAAAAATATTTGAGGAAGCAGATAAAAAACCCTTTAATCCTTCAACAATTATGGCAACTGTTCATCCAAATGCTATTTATACAAGTAGATTATTGAATTTTACAAATCTTCCTCAACCTATAAACTCCAACAAAGTTACAATTATTAGTAATAATAATGGTAATTATCTAATTTATTGTTATATTTAATCTTAATTATTTATTATTAATGATATTTTAAATTATATATTCTAAATTATAAATCAATACTATAGAATCTAAACAAATTGAATTAAATATGCCAGATTCCAAACAAATTGAATTAACTATACCAGATGATTTTATGAATAAATTTCATTCATCTGATTATTGAAATTTTCACATTAGTTTTTTTATTATTACAGTCAACCCCTAAGTGCACCCCCCTTGGGAATGAGTGGGAGTGTGCATTTAGGGAATTAAAGCATTTCATTGGCTGCACATATTAAAATTTTTAAATTACAAAAAAAATTCAAGACATGAATCTATCTATTGTAATTTCCATTGTATTTTTTTTTTTAAGTTAATATATTTTTCAAGAGAATTAACTGATTTTGCTTGTTCATTGTATGGACAATTTCCAAACTTGTTAACTATGGTAGAAATAGGTTGATAAGAATGTTAGTTAAAATGGTTTTTGAAAAAATCAATTTTGGTAAGCAATTTTGGATTTACAATATTCTTTGTATCAATAGACATAAAAAATCTACACAGCCTTTTAATATTTAATTAAAGAGTCCAAATAATTTCAGATACAATTTTGGCAACTAATAAAATTAACTTCACATTTATGAAAAACTATTTCACCATTATTAAGAGAGCCAACTTCAGCTAACATGCTTACACTTGACTCAATTGGGTGACTTTTTGATGCAATTAATTGTGTCATATGAAAAACATATAAGTAATTGAGTCAAGACACAATTAAAAATTGAGATTTTGGGAATTAAGTCAAAGTCAAATTAATTTTGACAAATGTAATAGTAAAAATTTTCTAAGGTTACACGATTAACAATGCACAAAATCACGTGAAGGTCACGAGCGTGCATTTAGGGAGGGTGGTTTTATATAGTTGGGAATGAAAAAAGACCGTGTAGTGCAGGTGCACTTATCTCTTAAGTCCCGAGCTTGGGAATGAGTGAAAGCGTGCATTTAGGGAGGGTGTGCATTTATGGGGTACATTTATGCTGTTTTTCTTTATAAAAGAAAAGGATAACAAGCTTAATAAGAAAATAGGATTTAATTTTGAACTCTGTAATACTGTGTGACATAATGTTCGCTTTGTCTGGTTTTGTTGCAGCATGCCCCAATTATTCTGTTGCACGGAAAATAGATTTTCCACCCACATTATATTGGTAGTACAACGATGATGAGTAAATTTTGAACCTATGTGACATAATGTTCATTTGTATTGCAAACAATTTTTGGTCTATTTATTTTAAAATGAAAATTGAACAAAATATCAATATCTTTCTTTTAACATGGGCCGTTGTTTCATTCACATTTTTCAATATAATTTTAGCACAAGAAACACAAGGAACGATTAAAAAGGCATTTGATTTGAGTGATATTAAACTAGCTGTTAGTACTTCGGAAGCTGTTAGAAAACTAACCGAAAGGTAGATTGATTTGATACACAACTCAGAATTTAATTGTAAAATAATAAATGTTATTTAAAAATAAAATTATAACATCTATTATTTTTTTCTTACCAAAAGTTTAACATACCCTAATTCACTTTCCACGCTTATTCAATTAAATCAAGGAGATGATATAAAAATGATATTTACTATAAGAGATGAAAAGACACAAAAAGGAATCCAACCTCACCAAGCCTTTTTAGTTTTATCTTCTGAAAATAACAATAAGATTCAATTGCCTTTTATTGTACAAGTTCGTGAATCAGGGAAAGCTAGTGTTAAATTGGTTGGTTGACTTTATTATTATTATCATCATAAAAATGGTATATTTAAAGATTTTTGACAAGTATATTTGAATTGAAATTTTCAAGTCAATACCAGAAGAATTGTTTTCGTCACCAAGAAAGTATCATCTTGATCTTATAATTGGAACTTTTTTTCACAACAAACCAATTAAATATCATATTGGAACTGTCAATCTTGATTTAACAACTTCATCATCAGAGTAAAAAGTATATATTGTTGTTTTAAAAACGATAATAGTTATAATTCTGTTAGAATCAAAAAAAAAAAATTTTAAATAAAACTAAACCAAAATTTGGCTTGTGGATTTTGTTTTAAATTACAAGTAAAAAAACTTTTCAATAAACCATTTGGTGCATGATGTTGATCTCACATATAAAAATAAAAAAAATTTTGATTTTTTTTTTTCCAACAATTTCAACAATGCCGGATGTTCTTTTTTCGAACAGTGAAATAGTATATGGACCACGTCCAGAAATAATTCATATTTTTAAATCTTCACAAAAGTTGCCACCATTATGGTTGTCTTATATTTTTTCAGTAATATTACTGATACCTTGGATGTTTTTGATTGGTGCAGTATGTATTATTTACTTATCCGTATATGATCAATATTATTGTTTTATTCTAGTTTATTTATTAACAAACTTTTTTGATATGAAGTGGCTACGTCTTGGTGTTAATATTTTTTTCTTTAAAAACCAACTCATTGCTTCTCTTGCAATACTAGTATTTTTAAGTTCATTATTAGCCATTGAAATATTATTCTATAACTATTGGGTATACTTGAATATTTTTCAAACATTATTTTGGCTAGCAATACTTAGCATTATATCTTTTATCACTGGTCAAAAGGCTTTGGGGTATGTCCAAGATTGGCGGCAAAAAGGTCTTCGTTAATAAATTTCATTTATACTAAACAATCTATTTATGAGCAAGTTTATATATATATATATATATGTATTTATTCTATCAAATAAATAATTGCATTCTATTAATAGTTTAATGAATTTTTATGACTTTATTATTCACACTTTTTTATTATTGCTGTAACATAATAAAGCAAATGCCAATAATATAAAACACCCTCCAAATATTGTGTTAATGCCTAGTGGGTTTCTAACGATTAGAACATCTACCAATGCTACTATTGGGATCGTCAACATTAATCCAATAGCAACAAAAAGTGGTGATGTAAAAGCTATGATCAACATAAATGAGGCATTCACACAAACTCCTGATATAGCAGTAAGGATAATAAAACCAAATGTTTCCATATCTGGAATTTCAAATATCTCAATACCAGTAAAATGTAAAATCGGAATCGGAATCCATAGGAATAAAAAAGTGAAAACGCCAATAAGAGCAGTGATTGTATTGGAGAATAAACATGACGGGGTTGATGGACTTGCATATTTTTTATATATGACTTCATTTAGTCCATAAGCAAGAGCACCAACCAATGCTATAAAATCTCCCATATTAATCAGACTACGATCTTCATCATTATTATCAAACTTTGAATTTTTATCTGCTGACGGGTTATCATCTTGACTTATATCCCAAAATGTCATAATAGCAACACCCATAATACTTAGGAAAACCGCCAATATCTTTTCTTTTTGCAACGAATCTCCTAATAATAATATTGAGAATACGTAAGCCCAAAAACAACTTGTATTAAAAATTGCAGTTAATTTAGCTGTTGTAGTAAATGCCACGGCAATGTACCAAATATATCCTGGAATACACATACAAATTGCAAACAGTGCAGAGAATTTTAGCACATATTTGATTACATTTTGGTGTTTTTGTGAATTTAAAATATGAAATACATTTGTCGTATTGTTGTCATCGTCGTCGTCGTTACTGCTGCTGCTGCTGCCATCATCATTATCATGATTTATAAGAATTGTATGAGCTGATATGCTCATCTTGTCGACTAATTCATTTCCAACATTAAGAAATTCATTAACATATTCATGAATGTTCATATGAAACATGAATTGAAACGGGAAAACTAAAATATAAAAGCTATGTCCTATCCATCTAAATAAAACAATAAATTAATCGACAATTTAACATATGTTTAAAAATTTAAAAATATAATGGTTTCTTAGACTTACAAAATAAAATATGGCTTGTGATAATTCATTCTTGTTTGAATAAATTGCGCTAATTCCTATTTTAATAAAAGGGATTTTTTTAGTTGAAACTATTTAAAAAATCAGAAGATTCCTTCATTACATACCGTTTGTAAAACATAAGAGGCAATACATATACAAAGTATACCGAAACCTATAATATTATAAGACGCTTTATGTGCATAATATGAGTTTACGTGCGAATTTGATTGCAAGAGAGTAGTTTCCATATTAATATTTTAAAGTATATTAATTGACGATCCGCGAATAAATCAGTGAAAAAGTTGTGCAAGAGCTCTTATCTTTTAAACGGTCAAAGTATTCTTTAATGGTAACACAAAATAATTTTTTGATCACGATCTTGGCATCTTTGTTGGCCAATTTAACGATCTGCAAAGTAAAAATAGTCAATCGACCAACTTTTAAGGAAGATTTTACGAAAACCACAGGGACAACAACCGAACTTTTATTCACATTTCAATCAGCTGAATCTCAAATATCATTTCGTATTAGGAAGTGATACCTTCAGAAAAGTTTTTTATAACAGAAAAAAATTTTCGGCTATCAATAGCCGAAAAACCGTTTAATATTAAGGGACAATCATATTTTACTACACTACTATATTAATTGTTAGATAAATTACTACTTTATTCATATATAAAAGAATATCATTCTGCGGTGCAAAAATAATACAACTTTCGTGCAAAGATTGACGATTAGCAATTTAATTAGTGATTACAAATCTGTTTCTTACAATTTCCTATATATGAGAGCTTTTTTCATCACACTTGAAATATGTTTTTAGATAAAATTTTTTTGAGATTAACTAATTTATATATAAAAGTACATCACCCTGTGGCACAAAAAGAATAATACAACTTTTCATGCAAAGTTAACAATTAGCAATTTAATTATCCAAACCTGCGTTTCCTACATAGAAAAAGTTTTCGAGATTTACTTTCATATATAACCCTGTGGCACAAAAAGTATAATGCAACTTTTTGTGTAAAGGTTGACAATTAGCAATTTTTATCACATTTTTGCACCACCGATCATTATAAGAATCTTCTGATTCATTCGCGGATCAGCATAATGGAAATTCTATTTTGATCAACATTTGCAATTATCACGTTTACATTTTAGTAGAAGATCTTCGTGTTAAGAAAGTCCTGGAAGTATTAACATTATATGCTTTGTATGTAACTTGTATCTTTTACAACTTCTCCCGCTTATGACTCATACAAACCTTTTTCTACTTCTCTTCCCACTTCTGTCACTATCTCGCCCAATGTTCCACCTGATACATATTTCTATAGTTGGAAGTTGTATTAATGTCGAATCTGTCAGTAAAAAAAAAAAAATTTTAGTTTTCATATGATTCAAAAATTTTTCATAGTGTCACCCTAATATCACTAATAGGTGTGTATTTTTTCCTACACCTTTCTATATATTCTTTAGTGAAAGAACAAGGTATATATATATAATAAAAAAAAATAGTGAATAAAACAAACTTTATGTAATTTTTTCTTCTCATATTACGCACTTTCATTTAAAAATTTCAGGTATGTTTGGATGCGAATCAATCTAAAGGTTGCATATGAAGCTAAAATTTGGATAATTTTTAGTCAAATAAACGGAATTCAATATAAAATATTATCTATTGATCTTAAAGTTGAAACAAATGAAAATGAATTGAAAAGAAGGATCGAATTAGTAAATGAATGGAAACCATTATTATTTATAGAACAATTTTTATATTCATATTTCATATGTATAAATTTTTATCTACCTTAACCACAATTGTTTTTTTAAAAAAATTTGTTTAATGAATGGTGTTACCTATAACATTATCACAGTGATCATCAAATTGTGATATGAATAGAATTTCCACTATGCTTCGCGGATCAGCAATTAAATATAAATTATTATTATGTAATAGGATTTTTGTAAATAAGGAATAGTAAACAAATAAATGTCGATCCTTTTCTTTCCCACAATAATAACAATAATAATTGAAAACATATATATAAACTAGATTTTTTAATAATTTCAAAAGATATTTAAAAAAAAAAAAAAAAAAAAACCAATTATCATTTAATCATTTTAAACAAAAACAACAAAAACAAAATGTTTATAAAGTTATATGACATAATTGTAGCTTTCTTTAGTGTAATTTTGGACATTTTTTTTCGTGAAGTTAAATCAAGAGGATCACATAAAATACCTAAAGAAGGTCCTGTAATTTTTGTTGCTGCTCCTCACGCAAATCAAGTAAATATTTAATTTAACAAATAATAATTGTTCTTTTTATTCAACTAATGAATGATAATGATAGCAGTAATGATGATATGCAAATATTCTTGAAATGTTAGTTTGTTGATCCGTTGGTTTTAATGCGACATTGTCAAAGACAAGTTTCATTTTTGATTGCTGAAAAATCAATGAAACGTAGATATATTGGTTCAATTGCCAAAGCAATTAACGCAAGTAAATACATATTTATATTTACACTATCTATTTTCTAGAATATACTTATTAATTAATTGTGTATTATTTAGTACCTGTTGCTAGACCTCATGATATTTCTAAAACAGGAAAAGGTAGAATATATTTAGAAAATTCAAAACTTGATCCTACATTGATAAAAGGAATTGGCACGGAATTTACAAAGGATTTAAAAGTTGGATCACAAATTGCATTACCTGATAATAATAGCGTCTCAGAAGTTATCAAAATAATATCTGATACTGAGTTGATTATCAAAAAAGAATTTAAAGAATTGGATGCATTTAAATTATTGACTAACAGTGAAGGAACAGACTTTAAATGTTTACCTCATGTTGATCAAAGTCAAGTTTACAAATCTGTATATAATACTCTGAATGATGGTAACTGTATTGGGATATTTCCAGAAGGTGGAAGTCATGATAGAACTGAAATTTTACCTTTAAAAGGTATTTTTGTTTATTATTCATTAGTGATTTATTGATTTATTGATTATAATTTTTTTTTTGGATTTTTAATATAAACTTTAAATTGATTAATCTTTAGCTGGTGTCACAATAATGGCTTTAGGTGCTATGTCACGTAATCCCAACCTTGATGTAAAGATAGTTCCATGTGGTAAATTTATCATTTATACTTTTATTAATTTTATCCCTCAAAAAAAAAATTTTTTACTAAAGTGATATATATATATATATATTATTTATTTTTTTTTGGGAATAAATATAAGGTTTGAATTATTTCCATGCACACCACTTTAGATCACGCGCAGTTGTAGAATTTGGTTCTCCTATTTCTATAACACCAGATTTAGTTGAAAATTTTAAGAAAGGTGGAACTGATAAACGTGAAGCATGTAGCAAATTATTAGATATTATTTATAAGGGTTTAAAAGCTGTTACTGTTAATACACCAGACTATGAGACATTAATGGTAAGTCATTATTATTATTATTACTTGAAATATAATTATTTTATATTTATAATTATTTTTATCTTTAAATTTAAAAAAAAAGGTAATTCAAGCTGCTCGTAGATTATATAGGCCAGAACATCATAAATTGGAATTACATGAAGTGACTGAGTTGAATCGTAGATTTTTATCAGGATATATGAAATTTAAAGATAACGATAGAGTAAAAGAAATGAATAATAGAGTTATGGCTTATAATCAATTGTTAAAGTATCATGGATTGAAAGATCATCAAGTAAATAAAACAGTCGAAGATGGCTGTCGTGTATTATTTTTATTAATCTATAGAATAATTGTATTAACTATTTGGATTATATTGGGATTGCCTGGGTAAAAAAAAGTTTATTATTGTTTATATATTTTATAATAACAAGAAAATTAAACTATTAAAATTTTTTATTATATATAGATTTATTCTTAATCTTCCGCTTATAATAATTGCTCGTGTAATAAGTGCAAAGAAAGCTAAAGGTAATACATTAATAATAATCTTAATATATTCTATTATCATATTTTAATAATCTATTTATAATAAATAGAGGCAGTAGAATCTTCTAGTGTAAAAGTTGCCGGACGTGATGTCCTTGCTACTTGGAAATTGTTGGTTGCACTTGTTGTCACCCCGTTATTATATGGATCATATGCGTTAATAATACTTTTTATGGCATATAAATATGAATGGAAAATATTAAACTTTGGAATATTTACACCATTTGTAATATTGACGATGATTTTTATTGATAGCTATGCAACAATGAGATTGGCCGACACTGGACATGATATTTATAGGTATTTGTTATTATATTATATTATTATTAAATGGTTTTAAATAAACAAATAAATAAATATATATATATACATACATTTGTTTAGATCACTTCGACCACTTTTCTTATCGTTAATTCCTTCAACAAAATCATATTTTCAAACATTGAGAGAAGTCCGTGAACAATTATCATATGATCTTACAGAATTAATAAATGAACTTGGACCAAAAATTTATCCAGACTTTGATAATTCACGTTTAGTTAGAGAAGTTAAGGGGAAAAGCAGAAGTGGATCAGCTTCACCTTCACCATCTAGACCATCATCTACAGGGTTACAATTTAGTAGTTTCTTGACTATTTCAGATTGGTTATCTGAAAAAAATTTGGATTGGGAGAGAGCTGATGATTCAGACTATGATGATGTATTTTTCTTTTTAGATCAACAGAATGGAAAAATAACGGGACGTAGTAGATCAAATTCACGGACACGGATAAAAGATCAGGGCTCAAGAAGTAGGTCAAGCTCAATTGGATCAAATAATGATGGGGGTTTGGGAAGTAACGGGAACACTATTGGGATTGAGCCTTTATCAACTGTTGATCAATCACCAGAAATTGAAAGAAACCGTTCAGATCTTTCTTTACCTAAATTTACATTTAAAGATTGTGACGAAGATTCTGGCTATCATGGCGATAAAGAATATGATGACAAGATTGAAACTAAAAAAGAAGTTTAACCTAATATTTTTTTGTGAACATTTTTTAAGTTTTTATTTTATTTTAAATATTTGCTGTATGTAAATAAAAAATTAATTTATTGTCAATATTTGCTATTTTAATAAAAAATTATAGATATTTTGCATATTTATATCTTTTATTCATTGTATAACAGAAAGAAAGTTTTTAAAACATTTAGCTCTAGGCGGTGGTTCTATTCTTGCTAAATTTCTGAAAATTCATCGTATAATCATACGATATAATCAACTCTGTATAAATTTACAATAAATAAATAAATAAATTATTATTATTATTATTATTATTATTATTATTATTATTATTATTATTATTATTACTATATTATTATTATTAATTATTATCATTATTATCGAGTAAAATCTAATAAATAAATATATAAAAAAAAAAATAAATTAATATATAATCTGATTTTCTAAATTTTTCATCCTATATATTTCTTTATTCCACACTCTCATATTCTACTTCTCTAGTTAATTAATAATTATTTTTTACTAATAACATCCTCACCAATATCGTAACTTCCTTTATGAGTTGCTAATAGAAATATACCTGCCTCTTGTATAAGATCATCATTATTACTATTATTCTCATTGGTATCATGGATTCCTAAAGGTTCTAAATCACAATTTATACAATTTGCACAAAATAGATATTTTATACCAGTTTCTTCCACAGTTTTAGAAAATATAATATTTTCAAATTCAAGCATATTGTTTATTTGCCAATAACCCTGAAGTGGCGAATCTGAATCTGATGATAGTTCATTATCATTATGATCATTGGTTGATTTATCTGATGCCAAAGATTTTAAATTACTTGGTAATTCTAACTACATTAACAACAATAATATTAATTGTTATTAATGATAATTTATAATTAATGATGTAATATAATGATGACGTCACATACCAATTCTTTAGGAAGGTCAACCCAAGTTGCTATATTTGCTCTCAAAAGAAGACATTTACAATTAGTTTTGGGACAACAAATATCATATGCGTTTTTATTATCGGGAGTTAATAGTTGTTTTTTTGGATCATGGAATACTTTGTAGGGAACGACATTTTGCGATGTGCTGCTATAGGTGCCGTTGTTGGTATTAAATATATTTTTTATAGACATTTATTATTGTTATTATATAAAATTGTATAAATTACAAAAATTGTATAAATTATATGATATTTATTAATATTGAAATTTAAAAATTACAGCTTTGTTGCTCCGTTAAAGTTTTGTGTTCAATTATCGTGATCCACCGATTTGCGCACCCATTTTGGGGTACAAAAATATGGAAAAACAAAAATATGGGGATCATATAGAAAATTTCCTAATCGGGAATAAAATTTTAAAATTATTATGGTTGGCTCCGTCTAAAGACCTCCTATTGCTGCGCCATGCGGCCAAATTTCAAAATAGCAATTTTGTAATTCGCTCAAAAATGTAATAAAATTTTTCAAAAAATAGGACTTCACGTGATTTTAGTTTTCTTACTGCCAAATTTAGATACGATAGTCAAGAGCTAGTCTAAATTTAGTAATATCTTCCTAAATTTAGAAATGATCATAGTGGACAAATTCCTCGCGAGCATAGTAAAGTACATGTTTTAAAAAAGAATAGAACTCTACAACAAATAATTTTTTTGAGAAAATCTCTCTATTACATTAAAACTAAAGACATATTCTATCAACTAATAGAGCTATTTTTTTAAAAGGTAGGACAGAAAGTGACTTCTATACTTTTAAAATTTGCCCAAAATTTAGGAAGTCTTTAGACCGAACCAACTATATATAGTGACTTAATTCGCAGATCATTTTATAATCGATTAGCCGTAGCCGCGGCTAGATTTGAGCCGCTAAATTTCAGTGACCCAAATAAGCAACACAATCAGCTTTCATTATCCTCAACAGTACAATGCACAAAAGAATTTTCACCTTTCTGACCGGTCATTTCCCTGATAAATGATTTGCTGGAAAAATCTTAACTCAATGAAACAAGAGTTCACAGTTACAGAAGATCTTCCAAGTGTCACTTCTCAACTTGTTACATATGGGATGAAAGCGCAAGAGGAGGGAGATAAGGAAATCTTTTTAGTATGTAGTTCACATTGGAATATGATCAAAGAGGGATCCTGCATTTACAATTCTAAGCATGAAAGACTTGGACCGTTGGACTTCAACTGGTGTATCTACATCTGTGCTGGAATTCAATTTGAGTCCTTTACACTGTATATATTGATTTATCAAATGCAAGTAGAATTTACACTTCAAAGAAATAAAACTCTGTAATGGAATCATCATTTTAAATAAAATTAATCTTTAAAACATCCGAAAAATGGTAACATATATTCTATGTATATTAATATTTATTACTAGTTTCGTTTAAAATGCTTTGGTAAAAAGCAACAAGTGTAGTGCCTGATAAAAAAGCAATAATTGTGGAAAGCCATGTTTTATTTACTTGGTGAATGAGCAAAGGTTAGGACTGTTAACAACGGTCAGTGAAGCATTGTCCAAGTATTGTCTGAAGGTTAATTGGAAATATCGGTAGTGAGTGTTATTGTAATAAAATCATTATTGTAAATGTAACATGCTGCTTAAATTGTTTCTAAATAAACCAATAAAAATAAACAAGGGTAGATGATTGAAATGAACAAGGGCCATAAGTGAATAAAAAGAACCCTTTGAACTTTGTGAGCTATGCAGTTATCCCATACCGTTGATTGTGCTTACAAATTCGGGTATATACAAGAAAGAGGCAGCAAAAATAAATTCATAAACTAATTAATTGTCAAACACCAAATTATTGTGAATCGCAGGGTAACCCAAAAGCCATCGCCAGCCATACATACCTGTTAAATTATCAGTGTTACCGAAATAACTTTGTGACAATAATAATAATAATAACCGGTGATCATTTTAAAAAATAAATAAATCATTTACAATCTAGCTACATTAACGCACAGTTAGTTAGACTTTGATTGTTTTAAACAACCCATCCATTAATTAAAAGTATTTTATATATAAAAATGATAAATTAATATAATTTTAGACACAAAAAATAATTCTACAAAAGAAAAATGACTTATCAAAATTTAAAAAATTAAAATTACAAATTAATAAATATACAAAAAGTGAATAAGTGATAAATAAATAAATAGAATATCATAAAATATAATCTTTACTCTTAGCATGCAGTTTACATTGCTTGCAAACCCATTTAACATCTGCAGTCTCCTTCAATATAACTAAACTTAAACTACCATATGTGCTAGTTTTATCATACTTGTTTAAAACTTGTTCCAATTCTCTTCTAAAAGGATCATCGTCATATGTATCATAATTATTATAAATATTATAAATATCATAATTACTATTGCTGCCACTGCTAGAGCCGATATTGTTATCTTCAATAAATTTTTTTAGTTTTTTAAACTTATCTAATTTCTTTTCGCTTGATTTCCAGATAGACCCGGCAGCTTCAAAAAGTTTGAGATCGCCAGTTCCAGTTCCAATTATCAGTCCTGCTTGTAATATCCCGATAGACACCGCCAATGCTTTTGCCGAATGTCTAAAAAATGATGTTGGCTCATGTATTTTGTATCCAGGATGATCTGTGATACATAGGTAAAAAAAAAAATCAAATTTGAATTAGTTAAACATGTAGCAAATATTTATAAAATGCATATTTTTAGTTAAATAAAGGTCAAATTTTTGATATATTTCACAAAAATTTAAATTTAATTTTTTGTTACCAGTGATATGTGCTGGAAAATCATTATAAAGTCCTAAACCTTCACAGAGCAAAAATAATTCAAATGTATCTTTGCCCCATTGTTTTATTGGTGGTATTATTTGCTCGGATTTTTTAGCAGGTAGTACCATGATGCTTGTTGGAATGGTTTTTTTGTGAAGATTATAAATCTTTATATATGTATATATATGCGTATATAAATAAAATAAAATAAATAAATTTTTGAAAAGAAAGAAAGTATACATAGTGTGTAAATATCATATACTGACCATTTTTTGTATATCTTTTACAGAACCACCTGGGTCACCGTCTCCTCCTTTAAAATAGGTAGATTCTAGTATCATTTCTACCTTGGGCCGCTTATTTGCGGCCGGGTTCAACATCATTGACAAAAGTTTGATGGCGGATTTTTCTTTGATTTCATATTCAAAATATTCAAACCGATCAACAGCTAGGCTGTCCAGTTCATCAATTGTCGTGTATAGTTTCTTCTTCGCCAACAAATAATATAATATTGCTCCGAGACTGAAACAATCAGCTGACAAATCTGCTTTGAGATTTTTATGATTTTTGGCGATTTCTGGTGGCGAGAATCCCGTATTTACGCAATGAGATCCATCCTCATTTTGAACTAGTTCGCCCACATTACGTGCGAATTCGAAGTCGCACAATTTAACTTTGTATATCTTATTCTCCTTCAGGAGAATATTGGAAGGCTTGAGATTATTGTGGACAATATTGTTGGTATGGAGATAATTCAAGCCCTTTGTAATCTCGTTAAACACAAGTTTCAGGAGCATTGGATCTCTGAGCTTAGAAAGCTCAGAGTCTAATGTCCTGCCAAAGTATCTGGTAACAGAAACAAAATTTTCAGTTCCTAATTCTTCCATATCTTCAAATTTTACGATACTTTTCCTCGACTTGTAAGTACTACAAGTACGAAGGAAATGTACATCGTTTTTCCAAGGATGTTTTTGATTAAATATTTTGATCACAACAATATCACCATTTATTGCATGTTTCCCTTTAAATAATTTTTTGGAAGAAGGAGTGCTGTTGTAGTGCCCAATTGGTACAGTTATTTCATATTTAGAGCAAATAAGATGTTTTGGGAATGGTGATGATGATAGCGGCGGTGATGATGATGATGATGGCGGTGATGATGATGATGATGATGATGATGATGATGGTGATGATGGTGATGGTGATAGACTAGTCTCACTGACATCACTTTTTTTATCTAGACTATCTAGACTAGTTTTTCTGCTAGTGGTACTATTACTACCATTGCTAATATCACTGTAATTACTAGTTCTATTATTAGTAGCAGGTAAAGTTTCATATTTTTTTGAAGGAGTTTCTTTGCAATTATCATTAAATAATGAATTTGGTGAAGTAGAAAGTTGATTACAGACAATTTTGTAATTTGGTATTTGTTGCAATGATCGTTTGGATCTTGGTATGGGTGGATAAAATGAATTGCCTGTATGTAATATTAACAAGTAAGCATTTGTTAATATAATAAATAAACTTTTTTTTTTATTAATATATAATCTTTATTACCTTCTGAAAGGCGATCGGGTTTCTCAAAAGTAGAACGACTTCTTCTAACAGGCGTCGGAATTGGATTCTCGTTGTAATTTTCAAATAAATGTTTTAACGAGAGTAGCTCATGACAAGATATCGATAATGTGATTTTGACACCATTATTTTCAGAAAATGGAGCTTTTTATAAAAAAAATAAAATTATTGATTAAATGATGACTTTTTTTATTTTAATTACGTGACTATTTACCTTTTATAACAGTACTTTGCATTAGTCTTTGCCAAAGCAAACCAGTACTTTCTTTAACAGAACCTTTAGCAAGTTCAATCTTCGAGTTGAAAAAAACATTGTCCCTATATCTGCAACGCAGTATAAGATTAATTTCCGGCGTACTTTTTAACAAAATAGCCACAGGGTACTTCCATCTATCATAAACTATTTTTTGGTAGCTAATGGTCTGATATGCTTTTGATTCATTTATTGAAAATTCCAAGAGAAAATTAAAATTTTTCTCTTTATTTACTCCTTCACTAAATTTAAATATATAATATAAAGTTTTGTTATTATTAGTGACACTTTTCAACACATTCAATTATTACTATTATTAAATATTATCATCATTAATTATATTTATTAAAGAAAATTACACACCATCTTATATCATTTATCAAAAGCACACCAATTTTTTCATCTAGATGTAGCGGATTACTGTACACCTGCATTTGATTTAAAGGTGCTTTCTATTTATTTTAATAACAACATTATTATTATCATCATTATCATCATTTTCCTTCCTCACTTTAAATTGTTTGATTAGTTAATATAGTGGTTGATTAAGTTACCTTAGACAAAAAGTACACTTCAAATGATATTTCACCTACTTTCTTTTCACCTTTGAATAATTCGCGAGTGACTAAATGATCAAATAAGAATAATTTTTAATTCCTTTTTCCCACACTATTATTCCTCCCCACTATTATTTCTCAATTAATTTACCTTTATGGTTTTCATTACTGAATATTTCAATATTTTTTAAATCTTCCTTAGCATCACCAATACGGTCTCTAGGACCTTTAGATTTATCCCAACAACGAAAACATATTTCTGTTCTTAGTTTTGGATAAAATTCAAAAACAATCGTTTCACTCCATTCTGCCACCATGTCATTTACACTTTGGGCAGAATATCTTTAAAAAAAATTTTAAAAAATAAATAAATCAATAAATCATCAATTATTAAATTCATATAATCATAATCATAATCATCATAATAATATTACATTTTCGAAGCAGATGTGACTTTTGTTCTTTCATTGTATTCTATTTCAAGAGCCACCTCAATTGCCTCCCTGTTTCTTGTGCTTAAAAAAGAAAATAATCTTCTCTGAGGGTTTTCTATATTATCCTCCGGGATTAATCTGAAAATGATGATTTGATAAATAAATAATTTGATAATTGTTAAATAAAAAATAAAAAATAAATAGCAGAAAATAAATTACATATTTAAATCTTTGATTACAAAGAAGCCACTTGAATGATTTGATGAATTATTCCTATTTTCAGGCATTCTTTTGATAAAATATTAAATGATTTTTTTACAAGGTAATTTATTATTAGGAGAATTTAAATATTTAAAGATAAGTTTAATAGTAATGATGATAATGATAATGCTATAAACTACTACTTCTACTACAAATGCTTTTATTCATAAAACTTTGCCCAAAAAAAAAAATTTAAAATAATAAATATTGCTTATCCAACCCAAATATAACGTCGTCAATAAATTGTCATGCAGGGTGTGGACTTATATTAATATGTATACTGTATTACAGTATGGTGCAAATGTACAAATTAGTGAGTCACATTTTCGGTATGGTGCCAACCAGTGTGTAAAATTCAGCGGGAGGGTATAATGTTACGCGACCCGCGTGCACACATTTTTTAGAAATTTTTAATTTAATTATTATAATGAATATTGTATTATCCTTCTTGTTTTTTATTTTTCAATGCTCTAGTGCTTTAAAAAATCAAAAATTTCAATTTGTGGTCTATTATTAAATGATCATCTAATGTGTCTACATTCATTTGTTTTCTCATATTATTTTTAATTGACTTTGTTTGAGAAAATCTTCTTTCTACATGAGCATTAGAAAGGGGTATAAGAAATCCTATTCTAGCAACTAATAATATATTTGAATTATTAAAAGGAAAATCCTCATCAGTATCTAAATTGTGTTTTCACAACTGAATGAAATTGATTTCTCTATTATTATTTTATAGTACTAAGAAAAGTTTGTTGAATTTATTCTTGTTAAGTTCTCCTTTGTCAATGATTCCACTAAATTTATTTCCATTTGCAAATTTAATTTCTCCATAGAAATTACCTATAATTGCATTTAAATTTTAGTTAATTTATTTCGTGCACACATATTTATAGTGTAACGTTACACTCTCCTACTGAATTTTATACACTGGTGCCAACCGAAATTTTAAATGATTATCTTCACGTGATTTGTCAAAGTGAAAACATTTTTATTGGTCAAAATACCAAAATTATTTATCTCAAATAGGGATGGGGACGGTTTATGTCACGTCCGGCGATGAATAATATTTTTAATAATTGATCCGTGACGATTAATATACTAAATTACAGGTGACATTTATATTGCCAAAACAAGACAAGTTAATTGTCACTTATAATTTAGTAGTTAATCGTCACGGATCAATTATTAAAAATATTATTCGTCGCCGAACGTGACATAAACCGTCCCCATCCCTAATCTCAAAAGAAATTTTACAATATATAAAAATAATAATTAATATAATGATAAAACAAAAAGCAATCACTTAGCTTAATCCAAATCATTAAATTCTAGTTTTTTCTAATTCTTTTAAAACTCCATCTGGGATCTTTCTATGTGATCTGTACTTTCTAACAGCATATTCTGCTAATTTCCCACCTATTCCATGTCTATATAGATCCATGTATCTCCATGCTTTTTGGGCAAATCTTCTAACTGTAATCAAAGGCACAGAATCCAAGCTTTGGGGAACAGTTTCTTGTAATCCAGTCCATGAGTAATTGCAATTTTCTTTGGCATGATGTTTAGCAGTTCCCCAATAGCTTTCAATGAAATTTAACTCACAGTGAAATTTTGGGTAAAAGATACACTTATGCCCTGCCCTTTCAATCAACTCCTGAATTGTACCTTTTTGTGCTTGAAAATCTGGTTCAAGGAAATGATTTTTCATGCACAGCAATTCACTCTAGCTTCATCTGCAACTTTTTTTTTACAATTTTTACATTCAGCTAACAACCCTTCATGCCATTTCCCTCTCTCAATTAATATTTGTTTCATTCCTTTAGATTCTCCACATAATGATTCTACAGAATAATCACCTGAAAAACCATATCTTGTGATTGATTATTTGGCCCAAAAAAAGTCTGTTGCATTTTAGGCTGCTTGCTACCAGGACCAAGATTCATTTGTGAAGCCACAAGTGCATCTTGACTAAATGCAGAATGGTTTGAACTGTTGTCAAAAGCAAATACTGCAATACAATTAGGATATAGGGCCTCAAATATTGGAATTGCTTTTTGTCCAATTTGTTGAAGATGTTCAGAGGTCCAGTAACCTTTTCTATTTTTGCCAGGTTTTAAATAACAATGTGCTTCTTTTGGAATGCTTGGATATTTTTAAACTTCATCAAATGGTATTTGTAATCTTCCATTTATTTCAGTTAAAAATTCACTAACTAATATTGACCTTCCATTACCTTTTTTCCTTAAGGGCATTTCTCCATCTTTGATCCAAATACCATGCTTTCCATCATTTGAATAGAAAATGCATTCATCATGAGTAACAAATATTCTCTCTTTTTCTCCTTCTGTCAAATTAGGTTGTACACAATCCATATTTTCACCTTCATACTCTGACATAAATTTTCATGCTCAAAAATCTCTTCCAACAATACTGAACAACATCATCACATTCATGACCATCATAATAAATGCCTAGATGATATCTTTGATATGAATATCAAGCCAATGTCTTGCTGTTGTCAAAGATATTGCCTTTTTCTTGGCAATTCCAATATTTGGCAATAAATCTTGTTCTATATATTCTTTAAATTTAGGAGCAGTGACATTGAAATTCTGTTGACACACCCAGCTTTGATGCTTTTCTGCAATATCCTCATCATCTACAAGTCTAATTGTTTTTTTATGTTTACCTTTATTTGATAGTGGAGGTTTATTATACCTTAACCAGTAAATTAGTAATTTTATGAATTTGACATGCCTTCCCAAGAACCACCATCAACATACACCAATTTTGCTACTTCCGAACTTGATTTTACTTTGTTACCATTGTTCTTTTCAACAGATTTCAAATATTCATATATGGATCTCTTTTTATTATACTCACCAGCTATCATATTATGCCCTTTATCCAATTCAACTTTTAAGTCTTTTATTTTTTTGTCAATACTATTATTAGACAATATATTATCATCAGATCCACTTGAACTTTCTATTAACTCAAGATTTTCATTTATTTCTGAAGATGGATTATTATGAACTGGAAAATAGGTTGTAATCTTACTTGCACTAGCTGCTGCCTTTGTAAATAAGCCACTTGGGCCCCATTTATCATAAAATGTTGATTTTGGAACTTTACCTTTCATATATAAGCCTCTTTTCTTTTTTTTCTAATTCATTATTGTCAGTTCAAGACAATTCAAGTTTTGAACTAATTAGTCTATCTCTACATTTTTTTTTTCTTGTTCTAAATCTAAATCACTTTCCCATCCACTATCCTCATCATCACCCCATCCACCTTCATGCAGCTCAATTTCTTCCATATCATTATTCATAAATGTTTGAAAATTGCTTACCTCAACATCTTTTAATAAATTCAAATCAATTTCAACACCAGAGTTAACTTCTATTTTTGATTGTTTTGAGCCAAACTTTCCATCTAATTCTCTTGATTGATTTTTGATTTTGATTTTTTGTTTTGAAGTTAGAGGTATTTTTAAAGTTCAAATTCAGTCAAATAATGAAAATAAAAATATATAGTTTATTGAGACGCACGTAAAAAGAATCAGGAATCCCTATTGGACAGATATAAATTTGCCCCTAAAAATCTAGTCTGAAATTTTACAAACAATAAATAAAATATTATAAAATACCCCAACTTTGAACTCTAATAACCTTTTTAAAAATTATGTTAATACAGAAAGTAAAGTGATAAAATAAAAGAACATTTCTCATTCTTTAAGTTTATTGGTTTACTTTTGGCAGTAACACAAATTGAAGGACTAGATGCAGTTAGAACAGGGTTGCGCAATTTTGCTGTATGAGAAGAATCTTCGTACATACATACGTACGACTGACTTCATACCATTGAGTTAATACAGTTTCATTGTGGTCATACACCTGTACGAGGAAATTTTACATATGTACATATGTACGTATGTACAAATGTACAAATGTACGATGTATCAGGAATGATGATTTTCTGCAGTGACAAAATATTACTTTGTAAAATCCTATAATAATAATATTATTAAGCTAATAATCCTATTACTATAACTAATGGATTACCAGATGTTGTAACTGGGGTCGTAATACTACTTCATTATCAGAAAAAACCTGATTATCATGTTATATATGCTTATTTTAATCCCTTGTTACTATGTAGTAGTATTATATATGTTATTATTATTGTCAATGTTGTACAATTTCGCTGTATGAATGTACAATGATTTTCTGTGGTGATAAAATATTATTTTGTAAAGTCCTATAATAATAACAATAATACGTGGGGCATTTGAAAAGTTTTGTCACTGGTCCTGTAACTTTATAATTTTGAGTATAATTAATTTAAATTTTTT